GCACGTGAAAGCACGGCTCCATCGAGATATCCCTGACGCAAGAGGGCTCCTGCAGGGCTGGGCTCTTCGGTCGGAGGAGAATCCACGGCTTTCAACCCTCGAGGCCCTGTGCAACGTATCCGAAGGTCGACCAGGCGCTAGTCACCAGAGCGTCAGAAAAGCTTAGCAGGTTCATCCCCGCCCACGCCTTCATGTCTTGGTGCTCGTCGTCCGTCAACTGATATTCCTCATGGCTCGGCTGATGGACGCTGACGAGCACGCCGCCGGCGGCCGGGTGCTCCCAATAAATGCTTCGGATCTTGTCCACGTAGCCGGAGTGCAGAGTCGTGACAACAACATCCTTAATCTTCCTTCTGCTGGGCACGACTTGGGGGTCGTTCAGATCTATCTCCGGCAGCAACTTCTCCTTCATGAGGCAGTTGACGACCTGGGTCGAGACGTTCTCGAAGGGAAAGTTGTTGTGGTCGAAGATCCTGATCTGTATCCCCAACCTTTCCTTGCCCTTGGCTAGATAAGTGTGGTAGTTCCTGGTGATCATCCCCCAGACCTTGCATTAGTCTGGTGATCATCCCCCAGACTTGATGCGGAAGCCCTTCCTCTTGAAGAAGATAAAAAAGACGGAAATAAAAGTGGAATTCTATCCTCTTCTCTCACCACCTCTCACAATTCTCCACTATCACAAATAACTTCTCCCACTCCCCTGCCCTTTGAATAGAGGAAGATGAGGTATGGGACGACAAGAGGGAGAGGGAGAGATGTTATAACGGATGGAAATTTCCTATTACTACTCTCCCCTGTTGGGTCGTCCATTAATTTGACCAATCAATAACAATTAGTCATCCAGCAGCGGGCAGTGGAAGTTCGTCTGAAATGGGGCTGACTGGAGATCATTAGCATGACTGGGAGATGTAGTGATGATGAAATTTCCAACAAAAGATCACGCTATTTTTCCAAAATTATGTCCGTAACTATTAGGTATTGTAGAATATCTCCACCAATAAGAAAGAACACATTCAATTGCAAATAGGTGTACACTCAAATATAAGGCTAGCTTGGCAGCAAAAGGATTTGGCCAAAGGAAACATGTTAATTTCAATGAAGTTTTCTTGCCAGTGGTAACAATTTGTTCAATTAGATTTATGCTTACTATGATAGCAATGTAAGATTTAAAATTAGAGGAAGTTTATATGTAAAAACTTTATTTCTGCCTGAAAATTAAGATGAATAAGTATGTACATTACGACTAGAATGTTTTACTCAATAGGAGAGAAAAATCTGTATGCAAACTTAAGATATCTTTTTTATGATATGAAGAAAGATAATTATCAGTGGTTCAAAAAATTTAAAACTTTTATATTTACATCCTGCTGCATAAGGAACGAATATGATTGTTCGAAGGTCATATATTCAATTATATATCTGTTAATATTTTTTTTTGTAAATTCACGTGTGAACATTAAACCTACAAGAGTTCCCAAATGAATTAAGCTTTTTGCCACATCACCTTGTTGCTACTCTACTTCGCTGCACTACTGCTTTGATTTGCTGCAGCCTCATATAATTGTCACTTATCTTGTTGCAGCTTTGACTCACCACTGTTCTAGCTCACCACCACTTAGCCTCACTGCCATCTCCCTTGTCTTCCTTCTATTCATCTTGGTTCCCCATGTTTCTCCTCTCTTTAGTGATATATTTCCATATTTCTCCTTCGTTAATAATGGGTTTGTTAGTGTACACATGTTGTTGGTGACATACTGATTGCCTACAAGTGTATGGATGAGGTTGCTAAGTTGAAAAAAGAACTTGACTTAAAATATGAAATGAAAAACCTAAGGAGTGGTGATAAAACATTTGGTATGAAGATTCAAAACAATTATTAAAGCAAGAGTACATTGAGAAAGTACTAACCAAATTCAGTATGATAGAGGCCAAGATTACTAGTACACCTCTGGCTTATAATTTCAAATTATCTTTGTAATAGTGTCACAAATCAAATAAAGAATAATAAGAAAAATTTCAATGTACTATAACAAATGTCTTTGGTTCCTGTGACTTATTTAACACAGAAAATTAATGATATTAATAGTGATAAATTTAACCTAATAAAAGGACGCTTGAATGTAATAAAGTATATTTTGGGTTATCTTAAAGGTACGTCACATGTTAGCTTACTATTTTAATAAATTAAATATAATAAAATGACATTAGAATATAATAAAGTAGCTTTTGTGTTATTTTAAGGGTATCTGATGTTAATTTACTATTCTAAGAAAAAAAATCTTAGTTACTGTATTGACTCAAATTATGCAAGCAATCTCAATTATAGAACTAAAAATTATATATCATTACTCTTGGTAGAGGTCTTATAAGTTGATTGCCATCAGTACAAGACATAGTCATACTTTCACCTATAGAAGTTAGGTACATTGTGGTAACCAGAAACTTGACATTAATCAAGAAGTTCTATGTATGATTTATCAATCAATATAAAATTTATTAATGTCCTATTTCACAAATTATGTGGACTTATTTCAAGTGATGACATCTAACTGGTGAAGGCTTCTACATAAGATACTATTACTTATATTGATATGGTGACATCTCTCTTTGATACCCAAAGGTCTCAAAGAGATGGGCTAGTCCTGTTTAAAAAATGGTTATTTATTTAGTAATTTTGTTAACTAATTTGACTAACTCAAAGGTGGAGAGTGTTATTATAACTAGTCAAATCAGTGAGATGTTAAACAGCCCAAGAGAGAATGGGGGTATTATAACAGATCATAATGTGTTAAAACACCCACGTGTGACAAGATACTCTCATCTCTTTTTACTTCTATCTCCCTCTCCCTTTTGTCAAAATTCTCTACTCTTTCCTCTATTTAAAGGGGAGGGATATGTGTGAGAGAGTTATGAGAGGGGCTGAGGACATGAAAAAGTTGGGCTCGGTGAGAGAAGGTAGCATGTCACTTCTCTTTTTTTGGTCTTTCGTTAATATTTGAAGAAGGTATTCAAAATCAAGTTGAGGAAAGATTTCGAGACATTTTTTCTCTCTTTTTATTTGTTCTTCCATGAAAAAGTTATTTCTAACTTTCTTTGTGAATGTAAAGGTTATGTGAGAACCATATAAATCATGCCATATCAGTTCTTAGTGTTTTTTATTTGTATTCAATATTTCCATCTTCATTTTAGTGATCGTGATATCTATGACATGCATACTTCGGTGGGTAACACATTTAAAATTCATCTTCTGCGGTGGTACCAATATCATTCTTTCTTTTATTTCTTGAAATGACTCTTAACAAGTAGAAACCTTGTTAAGAGTTTCTGGAAATATATTATTTATATTGCCTAATTGAGAAACCTTGTTCACACCACTACATTCATTGGCCCATCATCCAAATCTGACCTAGGGAATGGTGGATTTAAAAAAAAGTTAAGATCTCTACTTCAAAAAAATCCTCAATCAAGCTTGGTCAACCCAACTAAGTAACATAAAATCTTATTTGAGACCAATCTAGGCATTTGTAGGATGCTCCAAAACCCATTGACTATTTTCCTACTATGTAATTTTCCCAGGACCATTCGTCACAACAAGTCTATTTAGCGTTCAATCTAATCAATAATTAGCACGGAATTCAAAATTTGGGTGATCAATGTAAATATAGAAGTGAGAGGCCAATAATTGGGGCATCCTTCATCGGTCCTCCCTCCCCTTGTCCTGCTGCTCGTCCCTCCCCCTAGCGGCAATTGATACCATGGTCTTCCACATTGCAGTGTGGCACACATGGCCCTCTGCTAGAATCATGAATATTACATGTATGGTCCCTCCAAACCTTTTTTTTCGGGAAAGCTAATAAAAAATCTGAGAGGACCTATTCGCCCCTTCCTTTGTTTATACGACTCTTGACCAAGTCTTCAACATCAAAAATTGTATACACATGAATGTCAACAAATTATGTGCTAACGGGCTTGTAAACATTGAGTCGAAAGAACAATTGAGCCACATATTCTTCAAACTCTGGGTTAGAAATTTTACCTACAAAGAAAAATGATCTTTGTAAATAATAAGGTATTCTCTGGTCTTTAAAATGATCCATCGAGACCACTCCTCTCTCTCTCTCTCTCTCTCTCTCTCTCTCTCTCTCTCTCTCTCTCTCCAACATTTAGGACTGGGATTCCAAGGGGTCCATTTGAAGCCTCTTTCCTGACTTATCACTGAGCCCTCAAATGCATTGCAACTTATAGACACGAGTGGGCCTAGGCCACATTTGGTGTTCCCGGAAAGTCGAGAGAATATTGTTAGCTTTTGTGCAAGTAGCAGCGTAGGAATAGTCCCACCCATTTTGGCTGATAGAAGAATGAGATCATGATTATCCACATGGGCATAATATTTCGAAATATTTTTTTTATTAATTTTTTCAATTTATATTAGCGCCAGCTTTTTCCTACATCTGATAACTTTGAATTCTTATCCTTACTGGATCTCTAAGGACTAAATAAGCTGTCGCGCCAAATCGGGGGCTTTAACGAAACTGGAGAGTAAAGAAGGAACAAGTTGTCTGTAAAGGCGTTACAAAATAAGGCCAAGCTGCCGTCTTCCTTCTCACTCTTCGTCTCCTCTCTCTCTTTCCCTCTTTCTTTCTCTCCCACTTACTCACATGAACTTGTTTTCTTTCTCACATCATGGCGCTTATTTTCAATGTTTTCTTCAACTCAAGAACCTATTTTTGTGAATGGGTGAGTTTGAAATAGGCTTTTGTTGGGAACAATCGTCCTCAACAGTCAAGGATAATGCAGCATACACCCATGAGAGATGGAGAGGGAAAAACAGTAAAATAGAAAGGGAAAAAGAGCTGAGGGATCACACACGAGATAGATATATGTAGTTCAGAGAATATTCCTACGTTCACAATCAGACGTGTCCTTTTTCCTTCAGGGGGAGAGGAAAGAATCATTAAATAGCTTCTCTTGATCGTCGTCGGCCGTCACGTTTGTCTCTCCTACTGGACTTCATTATTCCTGGCAAGTACCTTGAGTCCACCCTCGACATCGACGCAATAGGTGACGTACGGCGCCACCTTGCCCCTCTTGCCGTCCATCTTCTGCTCACACAGGTACGCCGGCGGCAGGTGAAAGCACGGCTCCATCGAGATATCCCTGACGCAAGAGGGCTCCTGCAGGGCTGGGCTCTTCGGTCGGAGGAGAATCCACGGCTTTAAACCCCCGAGGCCCTGCCCAACGTAGCCAAAGGTCGACCAGGCGCTAGTCACCAGAACGTCGGAAAAACTTAGCAGGTTCATCTCCGCCCACGCCTTCATGTCGTGGCTCTCGTCGTCCATCAACTGATATTCCTCGTGGCTCGGCTGATGGACGCTGACGAGCACGCCGCCGGCGGCTGGGTGCTCCCAATAAATGCTTCGGATCTTGTCTAGGTAGCCGGAGTGCAGAGTCGTAACAATAACGTCCATAATCTTCCATCTGCTGGGCACGACTTGGGGGTCGTTCAGATCAATCTCCGGCAGTAGCTTCTCCTTCATGAGGCAGTTGACGACCTGGGTCGAGACGTTCTCGAAGGGAGAGTTTTCATGGTTGAAGATCCTGATCTGTATCCCCAACCTTTCCTTGCCCTTGGCTAAATAAGTGTGGTAGTACCTGGTGATCATCCCCCAGGCCTTGTTGGACGGATGGAGAAGGTACCGGGAGAGGTGGTGGAACACCGTCTCCGTCTCCGGGAACAGCCTGGAAAGCTCTGGCTCAAAGTCGGCGTTTAAGAACAAGCCCGCTGCGTAGTGGACTTCCGACCTCACAAGAAGCCAAGGGACTCCCCGTAGGGCTCTCTGGTCCTCCTCGAAGAAGAAGCGAGCATCCTCTTGCGCGAAGTCGGTGACTACGTGCGCGTAGACGAAGGATGGCAGAGGATTGACAATGCCCTTCTCTCTCACCAGACTGCCGTAGCTCAAGGGGTCCCCTCGGTTGAAGTAGAGGTTTTTCATCGGGAAGTCCTCGGGAATCAGCCAGGAAGTCCCCGGGAAGGGCTCGCAAAAGAGCTTGGAGAAATCCCTTCCCCTATCGATGAGGAGGACCCTTTCCGTGAGCAGGGCGTAGAGGAACGACGACGTGAGAGAAATTATTTTGTTTCCAAGCCCTGAGAAGGGCGTCCACAGGAGGTACTTGCACTCCTCCACCGTCCCGGCGGCGACGCCGCCTGTAAGGAGCGGCAGCATCTTTTTGTAGGCGTTGGTATGAGGCGCACATCTCCGGTGACGATCCTCATACTCGCGGAGCTTCTGCACGAGGTAAGCCGAAGGTTTGTAGGGGGAAAGGTGGCGGTAGTTCACCGCCTCGTACCTGCTCCGGCAGGAATCCTCGTATAAGCCGGCGGCGAGAAGGCCGTCGAGGTATTTGTCTCTCAGCGCGTCGGAGCCCGCAGCGGAGGTTCGTGCCTCGAAACCTGACATTACCACCGACGTAATCTGATAGTTAAATAGGGATGAGAGGAGATCGACTGCAATCTAAAATAAAATGAGCCAAGAAAATTGAATATTCTCCTATCTTTACGTGTAATCAGCGTCACCTCTTTAATTTTCTATTGACTGTTTGCATGTTCCATATCGTAAATATACATACATAGAGACTAGAAAACTTACGCAAATGGCATATAATTTTCTTGCACCCCAACCGTACTTCTGTCCCCCGTGGTCAGGGAGTTTGGGAAAGGTACTGAAGGTGGAGGAGCGGCTTCATTAATCATTTTTTTAATTAACTCAGCGCCAAAAAACTGTCGAATGCTCATGTTTAAAGAGGTTTTCGGTGTCATATCACCGGATGGTGAAGACCAAACAACGCACAGACACAGAGAGAAAGAGAGAGAGAGAAAGAGAGAGAGAGAAAGAGAGAGAGAGAGAGAGAGAGAGGATATTGTGTATTATAGAATAATAGATAAAAAAAAGAAACTATACATAAATAGGTACAGAAATAGAGTGAGTAATCGCAGGTCGATGCGCGCGTGTCGTGTACTTACATGGGAAATCACAAGAACATTGATAGGAGATAACGGGGAATTATGTTTTAGATCGTTATGATAGACGGAGAAATGGGTATAAAACAAGAGAAACATACGACTATTCATTCACTGATATATTTGTACATATGTGCGTATGAGTGTGTAGCGAGAGAGAGAGAGAGAGATGAAATAAGAGAATGATCATGCCTACGACAGGAACGACTTACCATCCCCTTGCTGCTGCTGCCCTGATTTGCTTTCGTAGAATCCTGCGCCATACATGAGAGTCCGGCTATGTGTTCCCAGGACCAAGGCTACGGTGAGAAGAGTAAGCCAGCCGACGGCGAACCAGACCCTCTTTTCCATTGACAGCGGTTGTCGCTGCCACTACGTGGTGTAGTGGATTCTTGCGCCAAACATGAGAGCCCTCATATGCGTTATTACGACCAAGGTCCCGGTGAGAAGAGTAAGCAAGCCGATGACAAGCTAGATCTTCCTTCCCAATGACAGCAGGGCGGTTTCTCCGGCTGGCTGTTTTCTGCCGCTGACTCTGTCGCCTCTCCCTCGTTCGATTTTCATTGGTCGTGCAGGTGTCTACAGATCGACGGGGCTTAGGTAGATAAAGGGGCCGATCCATGATCTCGCTCGTCACGAAATCGAGCAATGTGGGACTCCAGGATCCACCATGCGAAGGTCAACTCGACTTGCATCAATTGCACTCGTCAATTGAGTATAGCTGGGGGCCAATGTGGGGGCTCAAATGTGGGTCCAAAAGCATTGAGTGCACCATCACAGAACGTTTCATTGACTAAGTAACTACAGTGTTGCAGGCTAAAACGGCGCTCTTGGAGAGAGAGAGAGAGAGAGAGAGAGAGAGAGAGAGAGAGAGAGAGAGAGTGAGAGCCGCTTCTCTGGCTTAGAAAAGATAGGATTGGGAAAACTGAACTTAATGCCTAACTTTTTCCTCAGCATTAAATTTATAGATTTATGCTTTGGGGGCTTTTAATTAGCGTCTCAACTTCAATCCACTCCCGAGAGAGGGAGAGAGAGTTGCGAAAGCAAGGAATTATGCATTATGTTTCCAGTTTTCGATTTATGTTGTGTATCGGTTTCTTTTAAATGGCATGCAACACCCCTCTCTCTCTCTCTCTCTCTCTCTCTCTCTCTCTCTCTCTCTCTCAACCCCCCGGCATATATGTAATTGAAATGTATAGCATGAGAGAGAGAGCGAGAGAAAGTGGTCCTTGAAGACGGTGGAACTAGGAAAATAGGATTTCATGTACTACGTTTTAGACGTGATGAATCACAGCATGGGATCTTTTATGTAGAGCGTGTCGCGTGCCAAACGGTGCTTCCGGTTGTAGATGTGAGGACAGAGTAACCTAATGGCGGCTTCTTAGCTCCGATGATAATGTCGGTATAGCGTTCGTATTGGAATGAATAGGTTGCGCCATTTCGAAGAGTGGAAGAGTCTCTCGTAAGTCTTCGGAGACATCCATTCATACGAAAGGATCCCAAATTCTCGACGTCGCACTTCCATGGGAGAGAACAAGGAACCGTAGAGTCGCTAGTCTGAGGAGAGAGAATATTCCAAAATTTATTTCCATTTTGCTGTTGTCTTCGTTAAGCTCGTGGGTCAGGCTGCAGTGTTTTCAAAATTTTAGTATATTTTTAGGTTATCGGCTGAAGTAGCCAGATGTTTTATGTTAGAGCTGTCGAGGAGGGGCGCGAAATTTACAGTAGTCGTATCTGCCAATTTATCTTTTAAAAAAATTAATTTGATGTGACCTAAGAATTAAGAGAACGGACGACGAATCAACGATATTTAAAGTTGAAACTGTTAGTCCACGCAGCTCGAAATAAATTGGCCGTCTGTAAGACTATTCACTGTTCATGCGGAAGCCAACCGCTGGGTTTCTTCATGTGGACCGCTGCGGCGTGCCATCTAAGATCAAGCGCTAACCCTACCTAGTCTGGTGTCACCGTTATGGACGCTTCTAGGTCACACCCGTGTCCTAAGGAGTACCCCACTTGTATAAATACAGGTTTAGGGTCATAGTAACAAATATGGAGTGGCACTATTGGTCAAGAGATTGTACAGCTAGGGACGTAATTTTGAAACATAGCATAATTTTTCGTTGGAAATTTCATCATCATTTCATCTCCAAGCCATGCCAGTGATCCTATCTAGCCCCATTTAAATAAACTGCCACTGCCTGCTGCTGATGGCTGGTTTCTATATACAAATGGAGAACAGCAACCTCCCCCTTGTATTACAATTTCAGCGTTGGATGTGCTTCTTTTATGACATACTAGGCGCCTTACACTATGAATTTTTATTATTACGTAGTCAAATTAGTGGGTGGCTACATCAGCCAAGAGCGGAGGGGGGGAATTATAATGGACCTCATCCGTTAAAATGTATCTACATCCATTATAACTGATTCCCATCCATTATAACTTCTCCCTCTCTTCCCCCTTCTGTCTTCTTCTATTCAAAGGGAAGGGGCATGGGAGAAGATGTTAGTTGTGGAGAGCTGTGAGAAGTGGTTTGGTAGTAAAAAAAGTTGGGGCTTGTTGAGATATGTATCAACTTATTAAAGTTTTGCATATCGATAGTGACAGTTAGTACACCTCAAAAGAATTTTAAGGGTTTTTTTTGGAAAAAGATATAGTTCATTATTTAACTATTTCACTCATAGCACATTATAACAGAGTAGTTGAGTTGAATACGGCAGAGCTTCAGTGAACACATTATATGAGATAATTTGCAGGACTTCCTAATTTTAAGTTGAGACAATTAACAGTATATTATTTGATGAATCAGTCACCTTCTACATCATTGGATCTTAGATATTCAAGAAATTTTGGTCTTAATGTAGGATAATGAGCTGACAAAAGTAGATGCTAAGTCAAAGAAGTAACCCTTTTTTATGATATCAAGAGGGTCCCAAAAGTTATAAGATATGTAATCTAATAACCTAGAAGACAAAACTCAGTAGAAATATGATATTTAATAAAACATCAATATTAAAGAGAGCTCGACATAATAATTCTAATAGGAATAGTACCAATAGCTAAATTAAGGTGGAGTTGAATGAAGAAACAAAAAGAATCAGTAGAAATTCAAATATATTTTTATATCACTATGACTTTTCTGTACAAACATCAAAGAGATACTTTATTTCCATGTGACGTCTAAGAAGAGAAGTCACAATAACATTAATTTCTTTTGATATGGTAACGTATTCTTTTAGTATGTATTTTAACCCTATAATTGTTAAGGTGGCAATTGAGAGTAGGACAATGTAGAATAAAGAACTACTATAAAGTATAAGATAAATTATTCTTAAAATAATGAAACTTAGGATTAGATAAACTTATAACTCCATATCAGTTACAGTGACACTAATCCTGTATTTATACAAGTAAAAAAAAAGGGGTACTCATCGAGGCATAGTTTTGATCTAGATGTCTTGACAACCTCGACACCAGAATAGGGTCAGCGCTTTACCTTAGACAGTGCGCCGCAGCTGTCTACATGACGAAACCCAGTGGTTTCGCTTCCGCGCGAACAGAGAATGGTCTTACAAGGCAAACACCTAATTATACCACAAGACTCCACTGACGGCTACTTTATTTCGAGTTGCGTGGACTCGTTACTCCGACGATAAATATCGTTGTTTCTTCGTCCGTTCTCTTACTGTTTAGTTCACATCAATTTAATGTTTTTTAAAGACAAATTGACAGATACGTCTCCTGCGCATGACACGCCCCTCCTCGAGAGGGCTAACCGTAAAGTTTTCCACTTGAGCCGATAATTTTGAATCTGTCATCGGAGAGAGGAAAATCTACTGGAAATTCGGACTCCATTTTCCGCCAGACTTTAGATTCGTCCCCAGAGCATCCCTCGCCTGACCCATGAGCTTAATGAAGGCAAGCAAAATGGAAACAAATTCGGAATATTCTCTCTCCTCAGACTAGCGACTCTCCCGTGGAAGTGCGCCACGCTTAGTTGATGGGATGGAGACGAGGCAGCAAGGCGATTGACTCAGTTTCTAGGTTAGAATTGAATGGGCTTGAGGAACGCATTGATCATACCGGCGAAGGATGACGGCGGCCGCCGACTGTTCTGCTCCATCTTCAACGGCTGCTTCTTCTTCTTCTTCCGGTCGTCGTCGACGATTGCCTACCCAAACTGCTTCTTCCATTCGTCCTCTCGCCACCATGTTCACCATCCAGGGACCGGGTTCGATGGTGACAGCTGCCGTTTTCTGGAAGCAGCTGCCGCAGGCCCCCAACCGCCATCCTCCTCGTTCTTTGACGTGAATATCCGGACTGAGACCAAGATTGTGACGGCAGCTGCAGCAACGGCGGCGCCGGCAGAAATCTCTTCCCCATCAGCTGAGCCAGTGAAAGCCTGATTCTCACAGATTCAACAGCTCATTTATGAGC